GGAGAACTTCCTTCTGGTCGTGTGGAAACAGTGGTGGTGACCTCCAGAGGAGAAGATGAAGTGATTTCAGGAATTGTACTAACAGGTGTGGTTGTTTTCTGTGGGCTCACTGGGGAAGTGATGGAATTGGTGGAACTGGTCTCATCAGCCCTGGAGATCAGTGCAGTTGATGAATGATTCCTTCCTTCTGTAGTGGAAGAATCAGCAGATTTAGTGCCTTTCTCAAAGAATGTTGTGCCCTGACATCTAGTGATGCAGTTTCCTCTTGTGAACATGGGAATTTTCATCGTGGGCTGGGGAAGTGCTGCCTAGCTGTGCTGTTGTTGTTTGTTTTGTTTGTTGGTTTTGGCACTTGAACTCTGGGCCTGAGCCCTGTCCCTCAGCTCTTCAGCTCAAGGTGAGTGCTCTACCACTTAAGCCACAGTGCCACCTCTAGTTTTCTAGTGGTTTATTGGAGATATGTGTCTCACAGACTTTCCTGACCAGGCTGGCTTTGAATCACGATCCTCAGATCTCAGCTTCCTGAGTTGCTAGGATTACAGGCGTGAGCCAGCAGTGCCAGGCTGAAATCTGCGCTTTCCCTCCCCCCACCATTCTGCCATTCTCAGTGCCAGGGTGTCAGCAAAGCATGGAACCGACTGATACATCATCCACTCTCCTGTCCTGAGATCGAGTTTACGTGTCATGTTGTTCTTGTAGACTACACATTTCCTCAGAGAAGTGATGTGTTTGGATCCTTTCTCTAATCGCACAGTAATGCATCATCTCCTTTGCTTTTCCTCCTCCTGCCCTTTCTGCTAAAAGGGCTAAGCTGTTGAAATCCAGCTGTGTCTGGATCCTTTCTTTGTCCATGAAAGGTCCTCACTCAGCTTCAAGCCCAGCCAAGAAGCCTGTGAAGTCTGGCATGCTTTGGGTTGAAGGAGAGACCCTTTCCTGTGCAAAGGTGGGCACTCTGCTCTGCCCAGGGCTGTATGGTGATTTACTATCATTCACAGGCCATATAAAATGGCAGATGGCTGTGGGCGGCCAACAAGAAGTATGCCAGAAGAGCATAGGTGTCTTTTTCTGTCGTGTGGCAATTTTTTAAAGGCTTTTAAAAAATTCTCTCTCTCTCTCTCACTCTCACTCTCTCTCTCTCTCTCTCTCTCTCTCTATATATATATATATATGTAGTAAAGGTGATATACAGTGGGGTTACAGTCACATAAATCAAGTAATGAGTACATTTCTTTTCGGCCAATGTCACCTCTTCCCTCACTCTCTCCCAATTTTTCCCATCCACAAGCTGTATAGTTCATTTTCAACCTAAGAGTCTAGTGAGTACCACTGCTGCATTTGCTCACCCTTTGTCCCATCCTTTCTGTGCCCTGCCTTACCCTCCCAAAGACAGATTAACAAACAAGACAAAAGGTAAAGAAAACAAAAACAGGGGGCTGGGAAGGTGGCTCAGTGGTAGAGCGCTTGCCTTGCATGCCTGAGGCCCTGGGTTCGATTCCTCAGCACCACATAAGCAAAAAGAAAAAAGCCGGAAGTGGCGCTGTAGCTCAAGTGGTAGAGCGCTCGCCTTGAGCTGAAGAGCTGAGGGACAGCGCCCAGGCCCAGAGTTCAAGCCCCACGACCAACAAAATAAAATAAAGTTCTACACAGTGTGTCAGGTGCTGGTGTCTCACACTTGTCATGCTAGCTACCCAGGAAGTTAGGATCCAAGAATCATGGTTCAAAGCCAGCCCAGGCAGGAAGTCCATGAGACTGTTATCTCCAACTAACCACCAAAAAGTGGTAGGGCACTAGCCTGGAGGAAAAGAAGCTCAAGGACAGCTCCCAGGACCTGAGTTCAAGCTCCAGGACTGGCACACACCAAAAAAAGATAGGCTAAAAGGCGTGGCCTGGCAGCAGGGCTTCCTGAACTAGCCCTCCCTGGTCTCCGCTTCCTTCTGTACTGAAATACAGGAGCCCAGGGGCCCATGGTCAGCATCTCCTCCCCTCCGCAAGGGACTTGACCCCTACTGCCCCCTGGGGTAGGAAGGAAGCTCTACTGTGTAGATGTGAGGGCTCAGATGAGAGAAGGGACCAGGCCCTGGACAGGCTGAGACCACTGGGATGACACATTCTCAGGTCTCAGTGACCATTGGCAGGGTTTCGCATGGGTAGTCATTTGTTTGTTGGTTGGTTTTATTAGTGTCAAGGGTGGAAGAAGCCATACAGAAACAACACAGGGGGTTGGGAAGGTGGCTCAGTGGTAGAGCGCTTGCCTTGCATGCCTGAGGCCCTGGGTTCAATTCCTCAGCACCACATAAACAGAAAAAGCCAGAAGTGGCTCTGTGGCTCAAGTGGTAGAGTGCTAGCCTTGAGCTGAAGAGCTGAGGGACAGCGCCCAGGCCCAGAGTTCAGGTCCCATGACCAAAAAAAAAAAGAAACAACATAGGCATTATGGAGAGAGGGGGGAGACAGAAGAAGAAGAGAAAAAAGGAAGGAAGGAAAGAAGGAAGGAAGGAAGGAAGGAAGAAAGGAAGGAAATGATGGGCCAGGCACCAATGGCTCATGCCTGTAATCCTAGCTACTCAGGAAGCTGAGATCTGAGGATCACAGTTCAAAGCCAGCCTGGGCAGGAAAGTCCATGAGACTCTTATCTCCAATAAACCACTAGAAAACTGGATTGATTGCTGGGATTACAGAAGTGAGTCACTGTGCCCACAGTTCAACGGAAATGATTAACACGGGCCCTGGGCTGAGGTGACGTATCCATACAAAGTGGAGCCAGTTAAACACAGACATGTACAAAAGAGAACATGCCATGGGAAGAGAAAGACAGAGATCAGGGTAATAGACGTACAAGCTAAGATGCACTATGTGTCCCCAGTAACCACTATAGGCTGCGACAGACCCTTTACAGTAACCATGGCCCCTTATCCCGAACTGTGACCAGATACATTCCTTGGGTTCCAAGGCTCTAGCTTCCTTGTTCCAGCAGCCCCAGAGGCCAGATGGTTATAGAAGTGAGGGAGGAATAAAATAACTCAGGCCGGGTGAGGAGACATGTGCAGTGGACAGGTGACAGAGCCCCAGGCTGAGTCACATTCGCTGGGGGGGGGGGGGGGGGGGGGGGGGGGGGGGGGGGGGGGGGGGGGGGGGGGGGGAGAGGGCTACTGCCAGGGTTGGGCTAGCCCAGAGGATATTGTGTATAATTGATTTGTCATATATTCTGAGACATGAGATCAGGATGGGTGTCTTCTAGGAAGGGCCAGGCTGAAGCTCCTACATTCCTTCTCCAGGCCCACACCCTGCCCTGGCACCCCGGGTCCAGTGGCCTTGAGAACAGGTGAGGCTCTGGGTTCCTGGAAAGGAGACTACTCAAAGCCAGCTAGGACCCTACAAGACCAGCTGATGCCAGGCTCAGAGAGGGTGGAGAGACTCCAGAGTCCTACTGAGCAAGAGCAGAGAGTCTGAAAACTTCCATTTGACAAGAAAGGACACACTGAGTCAGAGGGGACACACTGAGTCACAGCATGTGGGGACAGGTCAACAGGGATCAAGGAAAAGGTGAGGGGGGAGGAATTGCTGGGCATTGGTGGCTTACACCTGTCATTCTAGCTACTCCAGAGACTGAGATCGGAGGATTGTGGTTCAAAGCCAGCCCGGGTAGAAAAGTCTGTGAGACTCTTATCTCTAGTTAATCACCAGAAAAGCAGCAGAGGAGCTGTGGCTCAAAGTGGTAGAGCAAGGATGGGAAGGTGGCTCGTGGTAGAGCGCTTGCCTTGCATGCATGAGGCCCTGGGTTCGATTCCTCAGCACCACATAAACAGAAAAAGCCAGAAGTGGTGCTATCACTCAAGTGGTAGAGCGCTGGCCTTGAGCTGAAGAGCTGAGGGACAGCGTCCAGGCCCAGAGTTCAGACCCCATGACTGACAAAAGAAAAAAAAA